CGAGTACCCTATCTTTCCCTGCCGGAAGCTGCTCCTTTATCTGAAAGAGATCTCGGCTCTGGAGGAGTCTGTCCTTGACGCCATGGTGAAGCTTCACCGTCCGCGTGAGCGGCCACCGAGTGTGCTTGTGTTGGACATCATGGAGCTCATCAAGCCCTTCATGATTGACGCCTCTAAGATTGTGCATCGATTCTTTCAGAGCGTCATCGACGCAACGGAGTCCCCGCTCCAGTGGTCCATGGAGGATGCCCTCAGAACAACTTGGAAGGCCCAGCTAGCTTGCCGTAGTCTGAAGCGTGTCACTGGCAACATACAAAGGAATTTCTTCGCTGCGTACCAGGAGCTCTCTGCAGAGGAAAAGCATGAGTTGAACCCCTATTCGAGCTCTTCCAGGATGGTGTCACCGCGGCAGGAATATGAGTTCAGCTCGGTGAAATCCTTCGATGATGACACATTTCAGCGTCTTTGCACGCTGAGTTTTTACTTGTCTGCGAAGCCGCTGCTGTCTCACGAGGATGTGGCGGCTTTCAATGTGATTGTGACCGTCTTTGATTTGATCCTACGAATCATGGGGAGGATACTGCCGCACGTGATTGCTATCCACGAGTTTGAAAAATCTCGTGTTGCATAGGGGTCAGTGAAGATTGAATTGTCGGAAGTGAAAAGGATAGCGGCACGCTTTTCTCTGCTTTCAGTGCGACGGAGCGAAATGAAGCGGATAACCGCCTCCGCTGCATTGTATGGTCCTATGCCGTTTTCAAAGCCGTAGGGTCTGCATGTATGGACTTGGGCTGTGCTCGCAATACCCGAGTCTTTTCAAGGTACTGAACGTAGATGTCGAATTAATGCTTGCCGCGATGTGGATGTGGTTTCATATGAGCCACAGACATGGCCACATGCACCCGAGAGTATGGTAGGACACTAACCCATAGAGCTGCTTTGGTAATGCGGAATACACGGATTTGACATGAAAAGCGGCAAGTCGTGCATGACTAACGACTGGTCTGAGTAAAAGTTGTCTGTACTTTTCAGGCCATCGGTCGGTGATTAGGTACAACTTCGACCGTTTCTGAGGAGCGTACCCCTGCTGGAAATGCTTTTCACTCTTTGTTTGTTTTCGGGATTGTTTAACTTTCCAGGCTTTGTGTTTGACCATGACAACGTGGTGGTTTCTGGTGATCAAGCTTAATTCATTTCTGAGTGTTCGCTGCGAGGGGCGTATTTTTATCCTTCTTAAACCATAGCAATACGTTTTGTCATGACAAGTAATCAAAATAGTTTTAGGCTAC